TTTCTCTGAAGATGTCTCTAACCTTCATCTTAAAGGAAGACTTACCTACGGGTATTTTTAAAGTGGTAACCAAATCTTCGAAACCCTTCGTGTCTTTATTATCGTAAAATGGATATTCTTCATCCGTAAGCAGTAAATTCTCTGGGAAGTTGGACTTTGGCTTGGTCACCTTTGGCTCCAAGTCCGCATTGCTGTACGTCCTAGAGCCTTTATCGGATCTTCTTTCAAACCTACTAGCGTCCGCGTGCGGAAACATCTTCCTGTCATTCCCAATAGTAAGCCGCTGTATACCATTACCCAGCTGCGTAAACTTCATCTGTTTCGATAACGGATCGTTGAAAAACGAATCCCCTACGTCATTCCCAAATGCGTCGTACATTAGTATATAATGGATGTCATACCATCAGCACCTCCACTTTATCCTGATTTAMCTAAGGAGGAACCTAACGAATTAAACACCAATAACTTTCGTCTGAATAAAGCGAACTTAATACTGGCTTACTTGGAAGGGCAAGCGAAACACTATGAAGAGGTTAGAAAAAAGTATGCTAGAGCTAGAAGCATCTTGCATAAAATAACCATAACTTCCGGCTCAATGTCCGTGGCTCTTACTGGCACCGGCATTGCTACTTCTCTAACAGGCCCCGGAATAGTCGTTGGCGTTCCTTTAGCCGGCGTTGGAGCTGTATGCGGCATTGTTTCCGCTGTTACGACAGACGTCATAAAGCAATTGTCTGGTAAGATATCCAAGCACGACACTCACATAGCCCTGGCAAGAGCAAAGGCTAACACCATCGCCGACTTGGTCTCCAAGGCTCTGCGGGACCGCCGCATAGACGACACGGAGTTTTCTTTGATCCTCGCGGAGGAAAAGAAATACGGSGARYTAAAGTCGGGCAATAAAAAAACCATCGTGAAAGATCTTTCCGAGGAATCTCGCAAACAGATCTACCAGAAGGCAAAGGAAGATCTACAAAGAAAACTCGCTCAGTAAACATCTGCTTTGAAAAGGACGTAGGTGGATTTCGGCTGCACATTTCATCTTCTCGGAATCCATTCTAACAGGGGGTGGTTGGGGTCTATTTGCTGGAATATTTCGTAAATTACGTCGGGGTAAAAAGGAATATCCTTATCCAGCTGACAAAACATCCACTCGGCCCTTTGCATATCTGGGACATCAGGAATACGCCTACCGGTAATTTCAGACAAAAGATAGGGAATAGCTTTGTAATATTTCCCTAGCTTTAATTTTTTCAATGTCTTTCGTAGACTTTGTGGGGTTGGCTCTTCCAAATTGTCCACGATCTCCCGCGTGTCTAAATATACCGGATGTAAACCTTGGATATGACTCATCCAGTC